AACTGTCCAATATAATAAAAGGGTTACGCTAAATCAGTAACAAATGAATCTATTCGAGTTTGTTTTGCTTTGCAATAATATGCAATTTCACTTTTCTCTTCAATGCACGAAAGGCTTTAAATTCACCGCAATTGATTTCTATGTTAGGGCTATTGAAGGAAGATTGAATGTCGTTTCGAGTGCGACTACTGCATCTTCATTAAAGACGGCAGGGCGTAATTTCGAGCTGTTTTTCATCTTTATCTTCATCTTTTCCTTCTGCGATATCATAAACATGTTTACTGAATTTAAAAATACTACAGGCGGATACGAAATATGACATACGATTAAAAATATTTGACTGTGGCGGCTAAATCCGTACGATTAAAGTCTTAATATCAAATCCAACGACTTGAAATCATGCGAATTGTATGCGCAAAAATCGTATGATCTCTCATCTGCTACAGCCAATAACTATTCTACATTTTCTATTACGTGATAAAACGTCGGCATAAAGCGATTGGTATTAGTAGCATATGTAAAAACCTGCATCGAACTTCGGTAACAGTATGACAAACTTTTACTATTAAAAAATGGGTAAGTTAGAATTTCTTCGATTTAACGAAATTCGGTATAACGAGGGTCGACTGGCGGTAATCGGAAAAGACCGAAGTTTTTGTTCTGCTGATCATTAACAATCACATGACATTCACTCAATAAATCACTTGTGTTTTTGATCGATCAAATTAATATTTTATTTTGAAAAAAAATTACATTACTTGCCAGATTGAACCAGCATATGCTTATTTATATAAAGTGCGCTTACACGTCTTTGAATTTCTGGTTTAGAAAGTTGACCGAATTAATTGTTTGAAATATCTTGCACAAATTCGACTTTGTTAATTGTTTTCCTTCAGTTTGACTAAAAAATTTCTGTCCACGAATTACTTGACCCCCCATTGTCATAATATGTTGATTTTGGCATTTCCCCTACTTATAAGGACCACGGCTGCTTTTTTCTAAATTGGCATCTGGTCCCCACTTCAACCAAACATCATCTCTCGAAAGTCTGGTACAGATATCTTGTTCTCCAATCACCTTAACCCCAAAGCTGTTCGCTTAATAAATCGTCACCCAATTCTGTCTCTGTTATTATTATCTCCGATGTGCTTACTTTGTATTGATAGAATTGAGTTTACCTCTAATAAATCTGCGTCTCCTATTTAGATAGTGAAACAATAGAGAATACTCATGGATGGACACACACGAAAGTTACACAAACGGTGTGATCGAAAATTTCTCATTACGTTTATAAAAATTTGAAACGGTTGGACGCATGCAGGTAAACGAATTATATTATTGTGTATCCCATATAAATAATTAGAATACATTCAATCTCGCATGCCGAGCTTCAGGCACTGATTTTCATCAACTCCCATATATAGCTAAACCGAGAAGTTTGATATTTCAGCCGCCTTTATGAAAGAGATAACTGAATGATTGCTTGTTATACCCAATCTGAGCAGAACGTGCAATGTTTTCTGTTTGTTGTTTGTATTTTCGTTCACTATTACTGTTATCTTCATTTATATTGATTCCAAATTTGCATTTGTTCCTCATTTCTTATATGTCAATATTTTCATATTTATATTCCAAAGTTCCGTCACTCTTGCCTTAATGGTAATGAAGGTGTTTTCTTTCGAGAGAAAAGTGGAGAGGTATTGCGTAATACAAACCCAATCGAATATAGTAATATGTATTATAATGTGTTGTAAATAAATAAATTCTTAATACAGTCCAATAAATTTATGCGAACAAATTATGGAGATGTTTATTGGCTATTTTTTTTTTTTTTAGTTTTTAAGTTTAATTTGCGGTATACTCACTATTCAATTGTTTCACCAAAACATTGCTATATAAACCTCATCATGGGACTTAACTAAACAGCAAATATACAAACAAAACAACGCTTTTAACTTTTGAAATAAAAAAACTGTAAAAGCGTCAAAGTTGTCGGTTTTTTTGAATACTTTTGACAAGTAAGTATATTTATCACAAATTATGACTAATGGTATCGATACTATGATCTATTTCTAATAGTAAATATACGTTGGCATTATTATAGCCGTTATCCGCGAAAGCCTAAGCAATTTGCGCAACCCGTTAACTGTATATCTATTTTCGTCATATAGCAGCATAGAAATCTATCCTTTTATTTCTTTTAGATATAAGAGTACAAGAACGTCATTTTTGTTAGAAGAGGTGGAGCACATATTTTTATTTCGACGGGGCAGATATATATAAGTATAAAAACTCGGTCTCGGTCAAAACACATTATTTACGTCTTGCGCTCTCATCCGAATAACTTTGATCTAATGGACGGACCGAATAACGTGAACAGTAATTACGTCAGACCTTTTACCGGCCCCTATCAATTATCTTACCTTAGTTCTAATAACGCCAATCCTCCATTAATTCACCAATTTCAAACTCAAAATTTCCTTCCTTCTGTCTCCGATAATGTCGACGAAATGTTCATGAATATTATGGACTACAAAGATACCAGAAATTATACGGGCGATTATGCATCGATTCAAGACAATCCCTCAGTTCCTCATTTCCACCTGGGTAACGTTAATATGATGAATGGGCAGTTGAATTCGCCGCAACTCATGCAGACAGCTCTTGCCCACTCCCAGTACCTTGTCAAACATTCAGTGCTCTTCATTCCGATGTGACAAACGACAATTCGACAGATAAGCGTTTTCAACGTCTCGGTATTAGCATGACCAACAATTCGTCCATCTCATACTTTCTCACGCACGAGCCCACAAACTCTGGGTATATTTTTATGAAAGTAGAGTACACCCAACTAGGCTGGATATCAGCTGACGATATTAACAAAATATTAAATCTAACTCAAATTTGAGAATGCGTGTAGTTTCTTCAATGGGGGAGGTTTATATCAATTGAGAATTTGTCAATGATTTTGTTCGATTAATTTTTAACAGCTGAATAAAGCGATAAATATTTTTTTCAATGAATGTTACCATGTATTGTAATGCCCCTGTCACATTAATTTTCTGTAACAAACCTGCACGGGACTTGATGGTGAAAAGAAAAAAATTTCTGTATCCGTAAGCCACTTTTCGGTTTACATATATAAATAAACTTTTGTCGTCTTTATTTCACACAATACTGGATTCCTCCCTTTACCCATCAAATACATATATTGATTACATCATACCAAGTAAAATTGATATCATTTGTTGTGTGACATGATCGTAAATCATTGGTTTGTTTGTGTGCGTATGTAGAGTATGCGCATTCGTTGTGATCGAAATTGCCTTGTGTGATATGAGAATGTTAATGTACTTTCATGAATAAGCACCTATCATATAAAAAACGTCTACCATGAATAAGCGCCATGTTATAAATTACTACTTCTACCCTCATCACTCGCTTGATTATCACGTCATATACTGTATTACTTTATTTGCTATCGCCAATTTTATTCTTCGTTCTCACAAATATCTTCTGGTAAAAGTATATTCACACTCGCTCAATGCCATTCTCTGTATCACACTATACTCTCATCCCGCATTCAAAGCAATTTCTCTTCACTCACCAACACTCTTGCCGAACTCCTACATTCCCAACCACAATCATTATTGTTTCACTCAATCACCGGTTCCTTTTCTTTGAACTTTGATCCAGGCTATTTCGGTAGTGGCACGGGATGGTTGCTCTTAAATATGGGACACTTGTAATTCTATTATCATATGTACTATTCAATGATACGATCGACAAGTCGTATATGTTGTCTTTTTCTCCAAGATTTCATACAACTTACCTTATTTGCCCTCAATATACTGTTCATTCCGGGTTATTATCTGCGCGGTTTCTGTGAAATAAAGGGGAGACAAAATTTTAATTTGTAACTTTGTATATTAATATGTAAAAAGAAGACGACACCATCTCATTGCATTCAATACAAATTGACGTGACAGGGGTATTAGAATGATTTCGTCCCCTGCAATACATGATAACATTCATTGAGAGAAATATTTATCGCTTTATTCAGCTGTTAATTAATCTAACAAAATCATTGACAAATTCTCATATTGATATAAACCTCCCCCGTTGAAGAAACCATACATGTATTCTCAAATTTGAGTTAGATCTAATATTTTGTTAATATCGGCGGCTGATATCCAGCCTAGTTGGGTGTACTCTACTTTCATAAAAATATACCCAGAGTTTGTGGGCTCATGCGTGAGAAAGTATGAGATGGACGAACTGTTGGTCGTGCTAATACCGAGACGTTGGAAATGATGATGTGTCGAATTGTCGTTTGTCACATCGGAATAGGGGTCACAGAATGTTTGACAAGGTTCTGAAGAGCTGTTTGCGTGAGTTGCGGCTTGATCGCGATTCTGCGGATTCAACTGCCAATTCATCGTGTCAATGTTACCCGAGTGAAAATGAAAAACCGAGGGATTGCCTTGAAATGATGCATAATCGCCCGTATAGTCTCTGGTATCTTCGTAGTTTATAGTATTTATGAACATCCCATCAACATTATCGGAGACAGAAGAAAGGAAATTTTGAGTATGGGATTGGCGAATTAGTGGAGGATTGGTGTTATCAGAATTAAAGCCCTCCGGGTAAGATGATTGATAGGGGTTCACGTTATTCAGTCCGTCCATTAGATCAAAGTTATTCGGATGAGAGCGCAAATTGCTTACGCTTTCGCGGATAACGGCTATAATAATTTTAATATTAAAAATAGATCATATTATTAGTATACAGTATCGATACTGTTAGTTGTAATTCGGAATAAATACACTCACTTGTCAAAAGAATTTGTAATTTTGTCGATAATTACACAAAGTAAAACAAAAAAAAACCTGACAACTTAGTTTTTTTGTTTCAAAAGTTAAAAACTTAGTTTGCTTTCCTTTGATTATTATTGATGATTTGGAATAGCTCCCTGCCGTCGAATAAATATAATGAACGTTGCAGGTATGACGAGATACACATTCGTCTGTTTACTGACATCATTGTTGTCGTATGACAAAATGCACATTCTCACACGACCAACGAAACTATAATTGATGCCTTTATCGGCGTTAGTCATCGATCGTACTTGTTCAAATTTGTGTTTACTGACTAATCACCAGTGAAGATGTGTGCGGTGAGTACCGCAAATAATAAATTGAATTGTAAAACTACGTTCACTCTAGTGCCTTTATCCCTAACAACTTCAAGCCTAATTTAAGAATTATTTGAATGTACAGCCATATACAGAATTTGTACTCCGGATAAGAATTGACAATATCAGATATCATTAATTGTTTTTTTCAAAAAATTTTCTTATGCATACAGTCTTTTGCAATAGGCGTCGCTCTATTACATTTGAACGAGAGTCTACACATCTCTGGATTTCTGTATGTACCATATGTAATAACATGACTGATAAACACGACTCATAAAACATGCCCGTAACCTATATGTTGTATCAATATGAAGTAGTGTTAACGTGTTCTCATCCTAATCTTTGTCACTTATATCACAGTATCATAGTTATGGTATAAATTAAAATAGCAAATTCTGATGTATTTTGTATTAATTCGTTTTATTTAGCCTATATACAACCATGTATAAAGTTTTATTTTATTATTGATTCTACTGTACGATAAAATCATGTATTCTTCCAATCATCCTCTAGGCGGACAATAAAAAATGCGGGTTATCATTTATTTCCCTAACTGAAATAATTTCCCCGACCTTATACAAACAATGAATGTTGAAGCTAGAAAGAAGTTTTGCGGTCTCTTAATGTTCGATAAAAGACTCTTAGCATTATAAACGGATAATCTCATATAAAACTACGACCATTAACACACACGAACGACGTACTTTATTGATTAATCGTGCTCTGCGAGGTGTTTGCAAAGTACCCTCATTACATCATGAAGCCTCGGATGTGCCACAATTAAGCCTTTCGGTTCAATCAGACTAATCCCTTAAGAAAGAAATAATAAAAGTATTGGGCCTCTGTATTACATTATTATATTTTCATTGAAATCCATTATGACGTTGGGTTTCCTCTAGCATCTATGACGGCTTGTGCACGACGGCGCATCCTATCTACTAGATTTGTTAACTTTTTGTCCCAATCTCGTTTCTCTTGCTTTGAAATAACGTATTTGGTATTAGGAAAACGCCAACACCGATAATGACAAGAGAATAACCCTCTCCTCATAAATCTTTCACTTAATTATATTCGTCACGCTAGCAAGCGAATCAATTTTTCAAGAATTATCTTCGAAATCAATATACCGGAAGAAGTATATTTAATGTTAAACATACTGAAGGCCAGTGCGGATAGAAGAAACATAAGGGCTTTAGAGAAGACAACAATTTAAATGTTAATGAGTGGCACAGAGAGAGAATGTTAAGCGGAAAAGAGTCGTTAGAAATGGAAGTTGATCCGTGCAAGAGTGGTGTGTGATTGTACGACAAGAGAGTGCCGAAAGGTGGATGCATCAATAACGTATACTTAACAAACTCGTCTTGTGTTATCTTTAATTTACTAAACATTTCTTTTCAGGCGAGGCGTACTCGGATGAAATTGGTGGTGCTCAAGCAACAACAGCCGATAAACGGCAAATTTGTATCAGCTACAATTTCGTGTTCCACATGCTATGACGTTGTTTTTCTTTTCACTCCAAGACTTCAAGTGTTATTCTTTGCAAAAAAAAACACATTTCCGAAAGCCATTAGAACCCTTTCTCGCAACACTTTTGATAAAACCGTGTGTGGTGGCGGGGATGGGAACAGATAGAAAGTTTTTGGTTCTGATCATGTAATTTTTCATCCGCCAATCAGGGGTCGGCACAAATCGGAACGGAACGGGACAGAAACTTATAGTTCGTCACCGGTAATATTGTGATTACTAGTCACCTCATTCGAGAGCGGGAGTCAGGTAGTCTGACGATTTTACTGTCTACAGTAATGGGTTATTTATTCATATCGGTATTATTGTTTCTACTACAGCCTCATTTTTTTAAAACACGCCTACACATTAACCTTTCCATTTACCAGGGTGAGGCATGTGGTTAATAAAAGGTTGATATTAATTTGGAAATCGACTTCATAATAATAATGCGGTGTCTTTGATGAGCAAGTTCAAGATTAGGTCGTGACGTCTCTCAGCACTTTTCTTTTTCACTATTACTATTTATATTATTATCTATGTCTGCAAGCTCACATTCCTTCTTTTTCCTTACAATTTAAAATTACTAATATAATTATAATTATGCAAATAAAACATTCATGCTAGACATCTCCATGTTAGCAATAAAGAGAAAAAATAGTGAGTCATAGAGTATTTATTATTATTGTTGTTATTATTATTACTATATTATTTTTATTACTAGCTTATCATTGCTGATTAAATCGGTCTCGGGTTTAACCGGCCGCCTCGCGACTACGCCGAATTTTTATTAATTAGAAACTTTCTCTAGTTAAACAATTTTCTGAACTGGTCTTTGGCGCGGGTTTGTAATAGGCAATGTGCAATTGTGGTATTTGACCTCCACGTGAGCGCAGTATTATTATTCAAACTTGTGCGACATACTGAGCTGCATCTTTTCCACATTGACATTGCCTTTTTCACCCGAGATGTCAGAGAATAAGACAGTTACTTTCAGGCATTGTTAATTATTAGAGAGTTGGAGCGTTAAGCGCAAAGCAATTCTGACCACTCTACATTGGAAGATCCTCGTCAACAGTAACAACGTATATTGAACAATAATTCTCATAAATACATTTCCAAAGATTATAAATAATACCGCCACTACTTTCTTATCAAATGGAGGAAGGCCGCAAGCCTCTTGAAGAGAGATTAAAATTGGAAGTTGACAATGCTATGGCTCGCGCTCGGGCTGGGGTGAGTGTTATTTGAAAATCGCCGAGCATGCTTCTTCCGTAAATGGTGTATGCCAAAAGCAATCTAACTTTGTACGTCTTCGTTCTTTAATCATCACAAATATCGATTGCTAGAGTCCAACTGGAAGTAATCGATCTCGAGTAGACGATCTAGAGAGTAGGAATTTTTCTCTTGAGGAAGAGGTGACTATATTAACTGAATGTTGCTTACATTTTAAATCTACGAGAATCATTACATACCTTTTTGATATATATTTTTTATAACAAGGTTAAAGATTTGAAGATTCAAATGAGTGGCAAGCAGAATGAAATATCCAAGCTAACCGAGTTGTTGGGTAAAAGAACAGGTGAGGTTGTTGTCGTTATTTATATGCTCATGCTTAAACGTTGGAAAACTAATCTTTGTTAACCTTTGTGCAGCCGAGCTTGAGAAAATCAAATCTGGCTACGAGGACAAGATGAAGAAAACGAGAAGTAAGTTTTTCTTTACTAAATGCGTTTCGTCGTTGATTCTAGTATCTGTCGAATTTTTATTCCGTAATGATAGCGTTTGATCATCTTTTCACAATCGATTACAATTTATCTTTTCTAAAACCAATAATCATTTCTTTCCTTCTGATCACTTTCTAAGCAATCTTCAACGCCGCAAACAAGAATTTGACGGAGCTTAGACAGACAGTCACAGTTAAAGATGCCGAAATCGTTGAACTTAAAGAAACAATAGAATCGTTAAAGCAAAAAAACCAGGAATCTAACACAACAGTCAATGAAATTGAAAGTAAATCAGGGTTCCTCTTCTCAGTCGAATTCGCATTAAATTGTCCATATATTGATCAAAGAAATAATCGCATTACTTTTCAATATTGTAGAGTCGGTTGATCAATTGACCATGGAGTTACATAATCAAGTTGCAATGTATACCACTCAAGTCGAACAATTGGTAAGAGTTTTCAATTAGTATACAAGCAAGCAATATAATGCGTCAACACAGTTATCATATATGTTTGTACATTGTAAAATTCATTGCTTATGTGCCCTGAATTTTTTGACAGGAATCGAAACTTCGTCAAACGACCCAGCAACTCAATCAGACAAAGGAAGAATTTCAGCAATATAAACAGCGAGCACATGCACTGTTGCAGGAAAAAAGTGCAGATGCTAATACAACAATAAGCGCTATAACTGATGCAAAGACATCCGATTTACAAACACAAGTTAAGAAACTGCAAGGAGAACTTAGGTTAGCAATGATGTTGTCGTTTGGGGGTTATGGAAAGAGTATCAATATTATTGCGCTCCACCAGACTTTCATTTTCTCATTATTACCGTATACCTCTCTCCCCTTCCATTTGCTTCTTAATATCTAATATTCTTTTTTTTCATCGACATTCTAATGCTCTAGTCACAAATTAGTAGAACTCCGACAAACACAAGAAAAATTGAAACTTGCCGAAAAAGAACTCTTACGCGTATCCGAACAAAACGTTCGTTTGGAACAGGAATTGCAAAGATCGCAGCGATCGGCTAGGCAAAACGCCGAATTAGTGGTAGAAACTCAAGAACTGTTGAAAAGTGCTTCGGAAGAAAAGGAACACGTTAGAGAAGGTGAGTAATAAAAAACATTCGATGGTGAAACATCCATGTTTGGTGTATTGAGACATATCGAGCGAACGTGTCAAGTTGAAGTCGTGCATTTCAATATTTTATAAAACGTAGAATTGAGAAAGAGTGAGCAGAAGCATGAGGAAAGCATACGAGATTTTGAAGAGAGGCTTGAAAAGACATCAGGTCAAGTTCAGGCAGATCTTATAAAGCAACAAGAAGAGAACGAAGACTTACGACAGATAAATAAGGTAATTCATTGTAATTATATTTGTGCAGGCATTATTCCTTGAGCTATTCATCATTTACGCAAGAGTATACTGCTTTAAATGTTGTCAACACTAATTGACGCCTCTCATATGATGTTTAGCGCTTGGACAAAGAACTCTCCACCCTTCGCGCACAGCTTGCCGAGCGCACTGAGCAATTGAACGAGGCTCAAAAACAATTATTATCACGAAAACCACGACCACTTAGTCCATTGGTGAGGGAAGAAAGACACGTAACGCCAAGGAGTGAGAGTCGACCAGGCTCACCTTCGATCGCGAATAAACGGGCTAGTGGATCATACTGTAAGTTCTTTACAGCGAGGGGCTAATAGTTGGGTTGTTGCGGGAGAATTTGGGAAATTGTTGCTATTGTATACGTTTATCAATGCTGACACGAATTTGTCTTGTACTTGCGCGTTTTCTATTTTCTTCTTGTTGTTCCAGCTTCACTTTCGGACCTTCTTTCAGATACAGAACCAAAATTGGCTCCTTCCCAAGAGCGTGAAAAAGAACAAACATTAAAAATTCAACACCTTGCTGAACTTTTGAACGATAGTGAAGCCACTGTGAAACGACTCGAAGAACAAGAAAAAGTATTAAAAGAAGAGATTAGGAGAATGGATCGAATGGAAAAGAGACAAGACATGAGTATTGAATATTTGAAGAATGTTGTCTTGAAATTTCTGGAGAGCAGTGCTGGAGAACGGGAGGTAAGAGGAGAGATATAAGAGAAATGGGAAGGAGAATGTTTGAGGCGAAATGGGTAGAAGAGAGAGTGTTATGAACCAAGTCGACATGGTTGAAAAATGGTGATGATAATGAGAGTGTGTTGTTGGGTTCATGAATATGAAGCTTTGATAGTCGTTAACAATACCTGCTGTGCCCATTCAATTAACGATTTTCTATTTCCGACGACGTTTGATTCATATCATCTTTCACTTGTTTAGTATCTGGTTCCGGTGATAACTACAATTCTTCAATTGAGTCCTGAAGAAGCGAAGAGTCTTAGAGAGAAGGCTGTTGACAGTGGTCCTGGAAGTCCGGTTATGTTGGGATATGGTGTTTTATGAAATGGGAAATTTTACTATGTTGATATGTTACAAAAAGACATTTTTTAATTATAGACTATCAATGCTAATTATTATTAATTGGATAGAAAACGCGTTAAGAGAACTGACATTGAGAGACCAGAATCAGCTTGAGAGTTTGGGGCGTTTAGACTTTTTAATTTAGAGATACAATTTATAATAATTTTGAAGTAATAAAATTAGAGGAACCATGAAAATTAGAGATGTTTCTACCGCTCATTTAATGTAAAATTTCATGGGAATGCGTAGTAAAATCACTCCCATCAACAGGTTGTTTTATCAGATGCGTTTTCCGTGGACACATGCGAAACGTGATATCTTTTAATCAAATTTTTCGACCACGTACATAATATTTTTACTCGGTCAAGATTCTAACAACATTTAATGCTTTACCACATATTCCCACATTGCAATTACCGTGAAATTGTACTGAATTTAGACACCTTATATAAAGTATGCGCGAGAAAGTGAAAATCAATGAAAAAATTAGAATACGCGAATCGTTAAAACGTTATAGTCAACAGTCTGTTTGTGCTAATTATAATTGACGATGATTTGATAATGGCTACTCCGTATGCAGAATATGCTGTTCTGCTAAAGTGTCGGAATTATTGACAATATCTCCGAAAAGGTAATCAAGTTATACGATTTAAAAGTTTAATTTAATAGAAATTTTCAAGACGTATATTATTGAAACACGTTTGTCAATTAATAATTGGGCAACGAAGACGAACATAGAGATCTCTTGTAATATTGAAAATATTCTTAAGAAAAAGCAAAAAAATTGATTTATTGCACCAAGGGCTTATGTTTTCATCATGTGGAAATCGAATTGTAAAAATTTTAAGTATTTATTAAAGCATAGAAATTATGTAGCATGTCCTCAAACATAAGAGACAATTCCAAAATTGTAACGTTGGAGAATACGTATGTACAGTACGTCACGGAGTATCACAAAAATTTGCGAAACATACCATGAAATTGTGCATATGTAAACGTAAAATTTTAGTAACATAACTGTATTTCATG